TGATAAAGCGCCTTTCAAGTCTTAGACATCTCAAAGCCCTTCACAGAATGAGTGACCACTTCAGCACGATGACAAGCTGGAAGGTGTTTGGAATCTTTACTTTGATAGCCTAAAGTGATGCATGTTCCAAGGATAGAAAGTCAGACTGTTGTTTGTAGGATATAAACCTCCAGCTCGGGTCTAAATCCTTGAATGTCCAGCACCTTCTCGACGCAAAAGGTGACGGGCAAATGTCATTCGCCGTTGTTGTAGAATTGGTACCAATGATGGCATCTCAGTGAGTGTCGCTACCCACACTTTTTTTTAAATAAAATCTTACGCGTGTTTTTATTATCTCAGTGCAATTCCTCCAAGTTCTGTGCGCCCTCCCAGAAACCACGGTGATCATATTCAGGAGACAAGTTAACTCCAGCTGAACTCTGTTCCCCCACAACTCTTATAAAGATGGGGCCCCACTAAACTGAGCAACAGTGCTTTCTTCATTTTTCTCTCTTCAGAATGTTTTTCCATAACCTTTCAGCAACCCGTGCATGCTTTCATTTAAGGGGTTTCATCTTTGAAGCATAACGTCCAAAGCATTAAAGGATTTCAGCATTGAAAGCTATCTATTCTCTTCAGCCTTTTGAAGAAACATTACCCACTTTAAACTCCATATTCGGATTTGATTCGCACGTCTGCGAGCTCAGACCTGAGTTGCGCTTCCTAGGTTTCGTCACTAGTTGATGCTGGAGTGTTTAGCTTGCTCGCGATGAGATGCACACTGTAATTTTTAATGTTCATTGCAACATCGCATCACGCCTCTGAACAGAAAAGACACCATTTTTTCTCAAGACATAAATAGTTTCAATACTGTGAGTTTTCATTCACGATACTTGTGCTGTTAGGGCACTCGAGTTGTTCATGTCCCACATGAAATATGTTATATTGTGCAAGTTGTTGTGTCAGACAGCAAAAGCATTAGTACACTAAATTGAATTTGCAGTTATTCAGAACACAGGGCAAATTAAAAACGGACAGAACCAGCATTAATGTACCCTCGACATATTAAACGTGAAGAACTGCACTTGCAAATGTACCATTATATACGAGGGGGAAATGGGTTTTGAGTAGGGAGCTCGGATGAGGGGGAGCTGGCACCAGCCTGGATAGGATGGGCGATGACCTGCTGCTATGATGCAACCTCTCCACTCACTCCTATTTATAAACCTCACCCAGTTTACGATCAGCTGCAGTAATCTGTCGATCGCTCCTCCTGTGATTCATTTAAGATTTGCTAAAAGTCAAGAGTGGCCTCTATCTGTTTTGACATTTCTGCTATAATTAGCAGAGACGCCAGCAATTAGGAGGCGAAATACAAGGGCTGTGATGAATTATTTACGCTTGATTCCTGCTCGCTGGTTTTACGTGGAGAGGCGAAGAGAAGTACGGGTGGGTGGTCAGAAGCAGAAGAAGCACACATAGGGACAGTGTAATACGAAGGTGGGGGTGGGTGGTGGTGGTGGTGGATCACGAGCCTAGGGGTCAGGAGAAGATAACGGGAACCAGCTCTTTTTTAAAAAAAATATATATAATCTGGTCTGATCAGGTTCCAGTCTTCTCTGGAACAGAATGATGTAACCGTAAATGCTCTCAAGTCATACACTGATTATTATTGGTCCAGCACAACCAGGCTTTCCTACAGACTGGCTCCGAGCCAATTTATATTGCATCCTTCTGGGGATCGCCCTCACTTAGAGGTCGACTGTACCATCTCAGAAGAGGTGACACGAAACTTCATTTCAATTTTAATTTGTCTGCATTAAATTGCTTTAACATGACTGTCCTTAAGCAACCCCCCACCCCCACCTCCCCCCCGATACGCAGACCCAATACACTTCACCGCTGAAGGTTGTCGCTAAGCAACAGTCTCTGTGAGCCTCTGTACGGAGCTTGGCTCTTGTCTGGCTCTGTTGGGAAATTGACTTGTTATTCCACACATAGAAAGTATGGGGGCGTATGGAATCGTCAGACAGATTCACTAAAGATGTAGTGCGTTCCTGACGAGCGAGCTACAGTTTTCATGGCGTGGTAACCCGTACCCAAATGTCATCCACTCTAAATGTTTTGCCTTGAAAAGACTGTTAATATAATCTGCACAGGAAACGAGCCTCGATATTGGTGTGTCGCTTAGAGAGGCTTTCCCAAAGGTCAGGCTTCAGCAGAGCAGACTCTTGAAAAAATAAACCCTTCTGCCTCCCCCAGCCCTCCTGTCTCCCCACTTGCTCTGCACGCACAGTCTGTTACCCTCGCTGCACTGACGAGATGCAAATCATTGACTGTGAAGTGTGGGCCGAGGAGGTTATTCGTGCGGTTTTGCAAGATAGCTCCTCAAATAGCCAGATTTACAAAAACAACAACTTGTATTTATGTATAGTGCCCTTCACACAGGGTAGCGTTCCACAGCGCCTGACAGTGACGGGAGCCTGACACCCACCGAGCCAGGGAAGAGGGAGGGGGGAGGTGACTGTAATTACAATCAAAAAGGAAGGTCTTTAGGCAAGATTTGAAAAAGGGGAGGGAGGGAGGGAGAGAGGGGGCAAGGCGGAGGGTTTGGGGGAGAGAGGGCGTAAAACCTGCGTGTCACGCGGGTAATGTATATTTTTTTAAAAACCTTACCCCCTCCCCAGACAGCAGCACATTATCAGAAGGACAATATATTCAGAGGCCCGGCACACGTTTAAACCAGAAAATCAACTGTCTAACGAAAACTGCCATTGCCAATAGTCTCTGTGTATGGCTGCTGCTGCTCTAAAGTGATGTTTATTTTGAAAAAAGTATGGCAATCTCTGATGGCTAAGCCAGTTTTATCTCAAATGGAGAGTGGGGAAAGAGCTAGTCGAGTCCCAACAAAGAAAAGAGTAATCTAATAAAATGGGCAATTTACCATTTTCTTTCTAACGCTTCAAAGAGTAAGTGACATTCAGCAGTTGCACAAGAAAATGCTTTTCCATGATAAATGTTCAGCGTAAGATCTCTTTATTGTTCTTAAAAAGGAGAGTACAGAGTACACTGTGCCGCCCCAGGATGAAGTGTGGCTTTAAAAGTCAAAATGCACTCAGTCTGTTCCATCGACTGCAGTCAGATCTGTACAGGAAGGAACTGATCCCATGTGATGCAGAAACAGCCGAAAGCCTGCACTTTGCAGGGGTTGTGTCAGCAGCCATTTGTCAGTGCAGCGCTTTGGAAGAAAAAAAAGGGATCTACCGAGCACTTAAAGGCATATTCTGACACCGTGGCTATTTGCCCTCGTCGAACCTGTTACTAGTGTTGGTACTAAAAGCTGCTAAACTGCTGTGAGATGTTTTTTTCTATGAATTGGACCTTTTTTCCATCATTAACACAAGTTGTTTGTGTAATGGTAAAACTCTGAATGAAACCTGATACACTTGGAGAGGGGAGCTTGTTGAATTTGCTTTTTATTGTAAGACCTCTTGCATTCTAAAATATCAGCACATTATAATAATAATATTAACAATGCTTACATCTGGTATAGCGCCTTATCACGTCGTTCAGACGCCTCAAAGCGCATCGCAGAATATACTGTTAAGTGAATAGACTTTGTGGGCGAAACCCTGCAGCCAATTGCGCGCAGCAATGCCCCACAAACAGTCGCGGGTTAAATGTATAAAAGTTAAATAACTTAAATGTATGAAAGATGATTTGAAATTGGTTTGGAGTAGTGTTCAAACATCGTCGTTCCTTGATGAGAGGCTTGCTTGAGGCTTGTGGCTTGCTGCCGGCTTGCAGTTCCAGGTAGAACATTCAGACTGTGAAAGTTCACCCTTGAATCATTTACTTAAGTTTCTCTTTCAAGTTCCATTTAAGCTGCTCTGAATTCCGAGCCTCTCCATTTCCTTCTGATTTCTAGCAATCTCACATTTCTTTCCACAGCTATTTATAGTTTGGCTGTCTCACACTTTCTCTCGCTGTTGAAATTATCTCGGCAGCAGCTCCTTTGATGCCCCAGTGGGCAAATATCCTTCCTCAATGCACACAGAATCCAGGTTCACTTTCAGCTTCATGCGCTATGGTAATCTGCACTGCACAATCAAATCACTCGCTGTGCCAATTCGTAAGGTTACTTTTGTGACAAGCCAGAGGGCAAACTCCTCAGTGCTTTGGAGAATGATTCTTCAGTATGAATCATCTTTCAGGAGCAAAGTGGAAAAACAACTATATTTCCAGTGTACAGTGTGGGGATAGAGTAGAAAAATGCCTTTATGATTAAGACTTCTTCACACCAATTTATATATTGACCTTCTGTCTGATGTATTTATTCCCTGGTCACAGTTGTATCTTCTGAGCATCACACTGTGAATTGGGAACATCTTTATTCCTTTTATTGAAGTTATTTTATTTCTGAAGTACAGTTTGTAGAATCTATCACTATCTGCAAATCTAATTCTCACTGGAAAGGCGAATGATGCTGTCACGGTGACGATGCTACACAGTGTCACACACTTTGCCTGTAAGGCCGCCACAGAGGATGAAAAGCATATCAATGAAGTCAGATGATAAAAGGAGCTCGCAGAGCCCTCACTATGGTTTTCCAATATATATTGGTTCTATTCTGGTCAGAAATGAGTCGACTTCAAACCAGATTTGAGTCACCGGGTGTGACTTTCTGACTGTCTGTGAGATGAGTCAAATGCGAATAGTACCAGGAGGAATCTCAATAAGGTTTCCAAATATTGAACTCAAACCCCCATTTTAGAAATCTGTCGTCATATATTGATCAATTTGGGAATAGACTTTCTAGCTCTACTTCAATTAATATTCATAATTTTACCGTTTCTCAAACGGTCAGGTGGCAGAATCTGTTCCGAATTAAAAGTGGGTTAAATTGTTCAACAACTTGCAAGAACGTCTGGAAGTCCTCGGTTGTCTGGCAATGATCTTGTGGTGCTGCGGTGTTAAACCACATTATTAAACATATTTCTCTCTTGTTCTGTCCTGCACAGTGGGTGATGAGACGGGAGTAATGGACAGCCTTATGGAGGCCCTACAGTCGGGAGCAGCGTTCAGAAGAAAGCGTGGCCCAAGGCAAGCTGGTATGTACACAAACTCTTGTCCCCCTTGGACAATAACTGTACTGTACACCACCAATATGAAGAAACTCATTTAAACTTCTCCTGCTCCTGCATCCCTCACTATGGTTTGGAAAGGGCTGGGAGCCACTGGTTTTACTGAAATCCAAGATCTTTTTGTGGTGTTTTCTTCAGTATTTTCTTCAGAATGCATTGCATTTCTCAGTTTGGTGTGTTTGGTCATTTCTCTCTCTCTTCATTCAGTGGCACACTGGTTGCCAAAGGTTAGGAGAGAGCGCAGGAAATGATCCCACGCTAATATCAACCAGGATTTGATTATCAGATAATAGGAACCAATTTGAGAGCCGCTCTGGCAAATTATACAGAGGGGATATCTTTTGTACGCTACAAAGATTTCAGACGTTATGCAGAATACCTTCAACTTGCAAAACCTAATGTCACAATTATTCCTGGTGGATGATGTCAGATTTACAAAGAGCCCAGTGTTCTGCTGGACTAAATGAGCGCATTATCCTGAATGGTTTAAAATTAAAGATATGCAATTCACAGACATCCATTGCCACTGTGCTTTATGATGGAAATTGAATTACAGACTACTTGGGAGCAGATGATATGATATATATGTGGAGTCCGATATATATTGAATGCTAAAAGTATTCCCTACTAAAGAAGTGGAATAGGGAACCCTTTGGTAATGCAGAAGCTAATGATGTTAGAGCGGAGTTTCAGGGAGACAACATGACAACTGTGTGGTTTTCTTAAGGAATCGCATGAGAATTCAGTAGATCAATGATAACACACTCCACCCCAGTGACTGGTGTAAAACAATCCAGCTTCACTTTAAAGAGCAGCCTCCACTAAACCACCTTCACAGTCAAATCAATATAATCTAATTTAGTGTCTGCAGAAGGAACATATGAATGCCATAAATCAGAAAGGGTTGAAAAGATTGAAAATCCCTAATGATTGCATTCCATTATTAACTTAAACCTGGTCCAGCTACAGATGGAAATGATTCAGAACAAAAGATTGAGAAGTGTTGACCTGTGTGCCTTAGCTTTGAGAGTCAAATATAATATTCAGAAACGTAGCACATTTTCCTCCACTTAGTGCTATCGTAAATAAATACTTTATGTTTCTATTGTTCTGCTCACCGAGCAATGTTAATTTGCCGAGCTGTTTATTGTGAACGCACAAACTAGGTGCTTGGGTGTGAGTTAGAGGCTCCTGTCACCTAATCAAAGAGTTTACGATCTCATAAAACATGAGAAACTGAAATTGGTTTGCTGTCTTGAACTCGCTGCTGAGTGCCTCACATGTAAAGANTTTTTTTTCGCGTTCGATGATATCTTCCTGTTTCAGGGAGTGCTTGACGTAATGTCAGCATTGCAGACCTTGAATCTTCTGAGGCTGAGGGCGAATGACTCACAGGTCTTGCTCGGCTCAGCAGGAAATAGCGCATCTTAAACAATCCACGACTGTAAAACTGCCCACATATTTAACTATAGTAGTCCTCACAGTAAAGCCAAGCCAATATTAGGTGTCTTCCTGACATGAAAGGTACTATATAAATGTAAATTTCTATTTGATTTCAGCGAGTAATTTTTCACATCAGACAAGCCACTCAAAGTGTTTCACAGGATATAATAATCATTCTTCCATTTGATACAGCACCTTATCACGTCTTCAAGACATCTCAAACCGCTTCACAGAGTATACTATAAAGTTAATTGACTGTATATTTCTGTGGGTGAAACTAAAGTACAGTGGCTGTGCATTTTGTACATAAACATATTTGTTTGCAATGCCCTTTCATAAATACATTTCCCTGTATGTTTCTAATGGTAAACGTTTTGAAGAAATATGAAAAATAGCATATTGCAGGATCAGATTAAAGTGCAGATCACTGTTTCTCTTTATATCAAACCATTCCATTTGTTAAACACAAGATCCTCCAGCAGTTTAACCTCGTGTAGACTAGTTACAATTTGTCCGTCCTTCTGGACTAATGTACCTTTAGGTGTGTTTAGATCCAGATGTGTGTGCTGCTATGTGAGTACACTTGAAACAGTTGTCAATTGGTTAATATATCTAATATTGATGCACAAGTTTCACCAGTGTTCTAAATTGAATACACAAAGGACTTCCTTCTGCTTTTATACACAGAGCTTACATCTCCTCCCTGTGCCCTTCACTACAGACCTTGAACTATGCATTGCCAGTCCTCGCTCCCTGCAATCTGGCATTCTGCTTGTACTGCAGCACTATATTTCATTGCATTATGCTCCCTGCCTGGGTGTGGCTGTGAGCGGTTTGCTATCACTGCAGTCTTTTGCCCGGCTGCACATCAGTTAACAAAGCACGCGCACAGTCAGTCAGGTGAGCTTGGGTTATTGATGCCCAGACTGTGCTCTGTCTGCAGATTCTCTGCGTGGAAGAAACAGCACATGAACTATCAGGTTGAAAGGAGTGATGATGTACATTGTCTCTTTAAATTTATTTCACAAAGAACCTTGGTCAAAGGACAACAAAGGGCGCATGTGTTTTTCATGATCAAAACTCAATCCACGCCTGTTTGTGGGGACTCTGCTGTGCGCAATTGGTTGCCACGTTTCGCCCACAAAATACTCGGTTAATCCACTTTACAGTGTATTCCGTGAAGCGCTTTGAGACGTCTCGAAGACGTGATGAGGCGCTGTATCAAATGCAATAATTATCATTATCATTACTATTTTAAAGTACTCTTATTTTCAAACCATTTCACAGCCCCGCAGAGCTCACTCAGCCTGACCTGGAAATACCCAGTGCTGGCGCACCACACTCTGACCTCGACAATGTATTGCACTCCAGCACAGAGCCCTTTGCTGTTGTTCAGCTCATGGCTGAGTGCTCTTTTTCTTTGAATGAATGCACACTTTACACACTGTATATATTATACATGTATTCTCAGAAGCAGTGGGATATTTTTTGCTTTTTGTAAAACTGCACTTACATCCAGAACAGACAACCATCGCAGTTGGTAAAACATTAAATAGCCTCTCCCAACCCCCAATTACACTGGTAAATAAAGTATAAATAATTACTCTTTCACTGATTATTTAAGAGTGGAAGGAGAGGGTAATGCAACACATTGAATGCAACAAATACATACTATTCGCAATGCTTTCTTCTGTGTTATTAATAATAATAATCCTTGCATTTGATGTAGCGCCTTATCACATTGTTGAGACGTCTCAAAGCGCTTCAAGGGATATACTGTAAAGTGGATTCACTATATTTTCTCGGCAAAATGTTGGCGAACTATTGGAAATTAACTGAAGTTTGATTTGACAATTGGCCTTAGAATTTTGATCAGTTTAATAAACAAATAATACTAATTAATCGCTCTCAGCTTCAGAGCTCTGCTTTTAATTAGTGATCAATTTTAACTTATTATTTTGAAGGTCTAGCGCCCAAAAGTGACTTGCTGGAGTGTTGTCATTAACTCCAATAGTAACGTGGGCTAAAGATTATTCAAGGTTAAAGTAGACTGAAAGAATCACCTAATTCCTTTCAGGGACGAATGTCTTGGACATTAATTTCCCTTTATGTTCTTTCTTTTGTCAAGCCCATTCTCAACAGGCCTTGTGCCCTACTCATAAATTAGCAAGTGAATGTCCTTTTTCACCTTACTCTTTTGTTGCATTTTGGAAGAGACTTTGTCTTGCCAATTGTGTCTTCTAAGACGAGAGCCTGAATCTAAATCTTAAATGTTATGGCTGGTAATGAGATTAAGATATGAGCGTACCGGCAGTGTATACTTTTAATGACCCAAAGAAAGAGGAAAGCTAATCTTATGACGTGCTTCAAGAATTGATAGCCTGCTCTGTGAACGGTATAAAAGGGAAGGTTAAAGGGTTGCGATGAACAGATGCCTTTGGATGGAAGGACATGCATCCAGATTAGTGGCAGACTCTGGCGTCCGTGCCGCGTGTAGTGGCATTGTATGTCCATTCGGCCCGCAAGCCATCTGCACACTTGTCTATTGGAATTCCTGAATGGTTGACCCGAGGCATCCAGTGCACAATGGTGGCATCTTCACTAACAGCTGCTGTTCGATCAGACCCTTTTTGGAAAACAAAACGCGCCGTCTTTGCCAATTGAGGCTCGAGCCCGTGTTTGTTTGACCGTGTGGACATTCCTGAACAAAAACCTACAGATGGCTTTCAAACAAAGATGCCATTTTTTTTCTCTCTTTGCTCTCCCCCGCCGCCCGACATCCTTTTGTCATTCACTCCAAGGGCACATCTCAACCTTCTGTTAGCCTGAAATGTTTCAGACGGGATCCAGAGATGAGACTTGCCTGCCTGCTGAAACAGTTTGATGGTAAAAGTGATGGAACGTAAGCCCTTTAACCATTGTTCTCCGTCCACTTCACGCAGCTCTGTGGATCTGTGGTTGGCAAACGGTGGGTTGCTGCCTCATAAACATTTGGTCTGAACTGAGCAGATTGAGGTCATTGGGGCTATAAGCAATTCTCTGCCTTATTATGTTCCCCGGATCCTTCACAGTCATGCTGGTGCTAATTAGGTTTTGTGCCGCTTGTGATTTCGTTGATTCATCTAAAAGGGCCCAACACATTTGCTCGTCACGTAAGCGATGCCCCTTAAGATGAATTATTGGCAGGAAAAACATTTCCATACCGATATTTCACTGTTAGTTACTCTTCCTCTGGGTTTAGAAGGAAAGAAATCGCGGAAGATCTTTGCTGTCTTCCCCGACACATCTCTGTGCTTCTCCCCTGCCAGCAGCCTGACAGAGACTCCAAGTCAGCACTCAATGGTGTGAAAGAGGCACTTAGCTACCTTACAGCAAAGGTCTGTCACTAAGCAGCTGTCTCTGTGGTAGGTGAGACTGGCATCCTACCTGCTCTGACTTTGATTTGGAACCACGAATATTGTAAGAATTCAGTACCAGCTGAGCGAGAAAGTTTGCCTTTCGACTCGCTCAAGTGTGAATCTGTTTGGAGTGAAAACAGTTGAATTTACTTGGAGAATCACTTGTGTTTGGCTTCATTACTTAACAATAGAAAGAGCAACTCGTCCTGGGATAATGATGCTTTGGTAAATGAAATGGTTAGAATTCTCCAGGAAAGTGTATTTAAAAAAATGTCTAGTTTTCTTTAACTTATGTTTTACATTTAAAATGTCTGTCACGCCTTTTCAAAACGGAGCATTTGTGATGAACAATCAGATTTTCTGTTCACGAATCAAATCAACTTTAAATTATTTCCATGACAAAATGCTTATTGTTTGAGTAAACTGTATGTCGGACCCCGGCAATCTACCAAAAACAAGGTCAGCACAAAATGGGACTTGGACAGATTCCTCTAGGTGGCTCACAGTGCAAGATTCAAGTCCGATGAAGTTGTTCTTGTCTGCTTATAATTAATGGTGATGTGATTATCAGTTCTGATTTTAATGTTTTTATTTCCTTTCTCTCTCTGTGCCCCCCCCCATCATCAGTTCTGTCAGCTGTATTTCAGTGCATCCAGTCTTGTTGGTTATCTGTCTAGTTAACTTCTTCTCTTTATTTCCTTTAGACTCAGTGTTGTCTCTCTCTGATTTCACTGGCGACAACGATCCGGTAAAAATAAATAGCGAAAGCTGTTTGCTTGTTCCTGATCCTTATCCTGCAGTTACATCCAGTAAGGCTGGGAAGTCCATTTGGCTAATATCATTACCGATAATTCGAAAACATTACGAGGCAGATATTTGGCACACACCAACTTCTCCTTGGACCTAATATTTGTCCAATTAGTTTACACTCCTGTTTGTCTGCAACACATAATTCCTATGTGTTAAATACGCAAAGTACTTATATTTTTCTCGCTGTGTTTTTAAGACTTTCTGGATCCCTATAAACAGTCGATATTTAAAAATAGCGTCTTTTGAAGTTTTGAATCGTGTTATTCCACGCGCTTTATGTTTGATGAGTGGGGCTGTTTTCTGTGTGTTCTGTATTTACCAACATGCATTCAGCTCTTTCAATCATTGAGCAATGACACAGTGAATTCATCAGAAATTCAGCATTCTTTATTGACCTTGGCAATGTAAATGTCTTCTCAACAAATAGGCCTGTGTATGCAATCAGATGTTAGAATGGTACAACATTCAGTCCATGTCACTGATCTCCTTCAACAGCAACTTTCCAAGAATATTGATGTTTAACTTTAGTACATTTGGGCCTTTGACGGCTGTGTACATGAACAACAGCCTAACGTGGGATAAAAAACTAACTCCCAATTCAATTGAGTGTAAGAGGAGATAATGGATTGATTTTTTTAAATTCCGCATGACTATGATCATGGCTCTAATTTACTTGTATGTTACTTGTGGCTTTAGGGACTCAAGCAGGCGGTTGCTTAATTCATATACAGATCTCACTCCGTCCTGAGAATGGTCTGCCTCGATGTATTGATGTTCAGCAAATCTTCCCAGCCTTCACTGCAGTGTTTCATTGGGATCCTCGCCCTCATTCTCCCTAATCCCCATCTTGTACCCTTCAGCGCTAACACTAATTCTTTCTACGCAGCCTCAGCAAGGTCGATGGACTCAAGGTAGTGTTTGATGGTCTTGCTCTCAAGTGAAACCCCTGCAGTCTCAGGGAGAAGACGAGACAAAACGAGACACGCTTATTTGAAGTTGATTATTTTTGCTGTAAATTACTTTGAACCTGAACACAGGTGTTGAGCTAACGTTATCTCAAGGGTGGCATTTAAAACCCATTGAAGAAATTGAAGAAAATAGCAAAGTGATGCCCGCACCGAATTAAAACCCAGTCCTGAAATAGAATTCTAACTAAAGAAATCCCGATGCATATATAATGTGTATATAGTCCACTATGCTATATATAGTTCGTGGGCTAAAACATTACATTGGAGTGGTGCTGAGAGCCTGAGCCCTCGTGGCTCTTTGGAAGAAGATTCCAATGTAAGTGAGGCACAGCATGGCAGCTACCTGCTGCTCGTATTAATTGCAGTGCACCTTCTGCAAGTCATTGCCAGATGGTGTGATCAGCAGCCTCCCCTCCCCAACCCCCCGCCTGTACCGCTTAGCTTGCCAGGGTTTACACGGCCGTACGTCAATGACTTTATCGGTTGTAACGGTGACGATTTATAGTTACATTTTTTGACAAAAAGACTCTTTCTGCAGAATTTTATCGGTCTCAGGTTTATCGAGCATTTAATTGGCTTTGCCCATGAGAGTCCAGTTTGCTCCATCAGTGAGTGTGGTAAACGGCAGAAATAGAATGGCAAGAAAATGCTCCTTATCCTTATACATACTCCAGGGCCCTCAATACAGGATGTCTGACTTTCACCAAGTCAGACTAGATTGGTCCCGTGCATTAAACTTGTGTAAACGTTTATCTGAAATGGTCTGCTTCTACGTTGTGTAGTTTTGCTAATATTTTAACATTTAAAATGTTCTCCCTTCCTCCCTCCTCCTTCCCATCCCAACCCTCCCACCCCACCCCACCCCAGGCATGCTCTACTTACTCCCAGTGCCTCTTAGACAATTTGACAATCGGTGCATTGTATTTTGATGGTATTAAGCATAGTGATTACCAGAATCGTTCAGTTACACTGACAGAAGATAACCATTAACTTGACAGGTCCAGCCAGTGAAAGGAGCAAATCTCTGTGCTGTACCTAATTGTGGGGAGTCAGACGTTCTCTTCAGTCTAGCACAGATGGTAAAAAAAGAGAATTTGGGAATATTCTGTGTTTGGAAGGGGGAGTGGGGGAGATGGAATCAATTCCATCAATAGTAGCCCAAGATAATGAGCTGTGTCATGTCACTCAATCCACGACTGTTTGTGGGGACACTGCTGTGCGCAATTGGCTGCTGCGTTTCGCCCACAAAATATACAGTCAATTCACTTTACAGTATATTCTGTGAAGCGCTTTGAGACGTCCCGAAGACGTGATGAGGCGCTGTATCAAATACAAGAATGATTGTTATAACAATACAGATTTGTCCGGGTTCACCTTCTTTGGCCAGTTGTCATGTTATGGTTGTCAGTGCTGTCTACTTGGTTTTACATTCTCCGCTATGCTTGGTATGGGGAACAGACACCGTTCTGAAACATAGGAACCCGCACTGCATGATAATCCGTATATTGTTTGAGAATGAACGCACAAATGTTGGAGAGTAATATAGAAACTAATTTTTTTTCATTCCTTTCTCTCTCTCTCTCCCCCACCACCCCACCCCACCACACTCTCGCCAGCTAACCGAAAAGGATGTGCTATGACCTCGATTTTAGCCAAAGAACTTACTAAAGACGACGCCATTGGCCTTCCCGCGAGTAAAAAGAAGATCATCGAAAAGGACAAAATGGCGGTCGCGACGCCGAAGGAACAAGATGAATTAATGGAGGAAATGCTGACACGCTCCAGTTAAACTCATAGGAAGTTCCTGGGATTCCAAGGTTCCCTGCCGTTTCTCCTGTTTGGTTTTAATGCTTCAAGTACTCTGCATTTGTTACAGTCACATTCCTGGACTACTTTTGTTTCACCATGAGATGGCCCATGGAGTTTGATACAGCTTCATATCACTATAGAGCTGCTGATCCAATTAATACTGCAAGGATGTTGTTCTCTCCAAGTGCAGGTTTGGCAATGGGCGCGTGGATTGTCCTATCAGACCAACCTCTGGTGTTTGGGAGCCTTTGCTTCTGTTGTCTCAAGTTTTTAAACCGTTCTGTTGATAATCCTCTTCCATCTTTTGATAATTCTTCTATTATTTTTTTAAATCGCGAGTTACTGTAATAAAGTGTTTGCCCGTCGAATCCCGAGGCCACCTAAAAGAAATTAGTAGATAAGGATAATTGATCGCTGCAACTTTACCGGAGAGATTTCACATTCAGACCTTTTTAAATTGTCAGTATTGTTAAATAAATATAAAGCTTCCTTCCAGATCACAGAGAGAATGCAAATTAATATCCAATGTTGGACAAAAGCTGCCAACAAAATCCATTGTACAGCACCCATTATATCACCAAACTATTAACACACAGTGGTTTCAGTATATGAAAGAGCGATCCAGCTTCTTCAACCCAATGGAAGAGTGTTTGTAGTTAGTCCAAAGTTAAGAGACTAACAGTCACATATGCACCGCAGATATGTTACATAAGGAGACACAAATTTCAGTCACTGTTAGGACCTATCAAGAGTATCTCGAACAGTTTTACGTTTAGTATTACAGCCACGTTTAACAAGCCAGAATTCCCAACATGTACCTTTTTGTACACTGGTGCATAGACCCAAATCCAAGACCACATCCACTTTATCCCAAGTGCGTCAGCTGTTTACGGTGTTAATGGAGAAGTTTCAGCTGTCAGATCGACACAGCGTTTAGAGAGTGGCTGCTTACTGCCAACCATTCCAACAGCATTTTACAGCCTGCGCTTGACACTCCGCATAATGAACCTTTGCCACCTTGTTCACACTGCTTTTAATCAGTGTTATATCGCTCATCTTTCAGTGTTCTGATCTCAGTATTCACGTTTACTTTCATGTGAAAGGGCAACATTCTGTAGGACATTAAAACAGGAGCGGTTGGAAACACTCAACATCTGACGAAAGGAGTACTGACGAAAGGTCATCGACCTGAAACGTTGACTCACTTTCCTCTCTCTGTAGATGCTGCCTTATCTGCTGAGTGTTCCCAGCCACTTCTGTTTTTATTTCAGATTTCCAGCATCTACAGTATTTTGCCTTTTGTTCTCTGCAGTAGGTTCCACTCTAGTAAATTCACTTCTGTTGATAGATTCTCAGTTGCAGCTGCCGCGTGCTGCTCTGTTAAGCCATAACGTCAGCCACAATGAGCGCACAGCCACCTCCATAATAAGCTTTACACCTTGTTACCCAGTTTGTTAATTGGTCGAGATGTCAGCTGGCGGACATCATAAAAAAAGCTTCAGTTCATTCACAATTGTCAAGTGTTCGGAAAGCAAGTTCCTTTGACCATGTTGATGTATAGTAATGCTTTAATAGTGACTTATTGTTATATGTCTGTAGCTAAAAAATAGCTACTCATCTGAGCACAGCAGGTTGAATATCGTGCGGAATATTGTGCACCACCCTTTTCTGTTTGTTTGCACAAAAAACAACCCTTCCGTGAGGAAGGTAGAGAGGAAACAGTAAAAAGCCCGGAAAAGTGCCTTCTGCTGCATAGTGAAATTAATGCTACTGCTGAGTATTTTGAAATCGGAAAAAAATAATTTTTGCTTACAATCAATGTCCTTTACAATCTCACGTATTCTTCTCTCAGACACCACTTTCCAGGAACTTTAATACCACACAACACGTCCACTGTTTTTCAGGAAAAGTGCTCACTACATGTCTCTCAGGTATCATCAGAAACTACTGCGAAACAGTAGAACCCTTTTTAAAAAGTTGTTGACTGTGAACCCCTGCGAAATGAATGTATGGGCTCGTACGGGTACTTTTTCCTCATCACAGAAAACAAATTCCTCATCCGCTGCTAATTTGTTTTACGTGGCCCCTGTGTACTGATTCAGGTCATGTCCTGCTGTATTTATTGAGGGTGTTAATGCTTGTCAGCTGCATAAACCCCTGATGGAATGTCACTGGGATCTTTGCTACTGTATGTCTGGGTCAATGCGGGAGTCAAAAGGAGCGTGTGATCAGACCTTTTCGAACCTATTTGATCAGCAGATGGTCTTACTGTATAGAACTACTGTACTCGTGTTTTATTGCTCACCCCTCAAACACACCCACCCAGAGACTTTACAGCACGACTGCTCCAGGTTTCACAAAGAAACGTAGCAAGGTTTTTGGCTTGAGTGGGTTTACTTGGCCAACGACACAATAAAAATAGCTGCACTTCACCGCGATGTAAAACTGGAACTTGTTTTGAAGTTATGGAAAGAGAGAGAGAGAGAGAGAGAGAGAGAAAGAAAGAACAAAACGTATCCGTGACTGCTCGAATTTTGCATTTTTGGAACAATTCTGAGTGGTTCCCTCCAGCTGTTGTGTGTGGGGCCAAGTTAATGTGGTTTTTGACTGATTTCCAACAAATGAACCCATTTCACTTGAATGCTGATTAAGCCCTCTCTGTATAGTTATACATTAATTCATAGATATCACCCGTAAAACCCTTTCACCAGCAAAAAAAACCCTATACACAATAAATTCCTTGTGGGTGCCAGAAATCTTATCATTGCACTATTTTCTCTTTGTATTAAAAAAAATACTACTTTTTCTCTATCTAGGTATATCTTTTCAAAAAGTTATTTGCAACATTCTGCAAGTGTTATTTTTTAATAAAAAAAGGGTTCATTATTGAGGTCAATAGATAATTTTAAACGTATAATGGAGCTAAACACAAAATCTCAATTTTGACGTTGTGTCGAATTATAAATTTCTCAGTCGCTATTCATTCCGCACAGACTTACACTCTGAGCTTGTTGGTGCAAGTCCAGGCGCCAATATGGTTCACGCTGAATTCAGCTCTGATTAGATACAGTTAAGGCATTATTACCCTTTTTCCTCTCTCCACATTAACATGCTTGCACTCCATCCCTTCTCCTGCAGAGTTTGTTAACTCCACACTGTAGTTTGAATTAAAATTGCTTTTCTGTAGTGTTTCATACCCTTGTCCACAAGCAAAGCCCTTGATAGCCAGAAGTATTGCTGCTTTACACTATATCCATTCTAGTATGTCGTTGAGTAAGTATAACAGGCTGGTGAAAGGGTTAAGTTGGTTATTTACTCGGTCTATTATTTTCCACATTGGCCATTCCTGTTGGGCCAGGAGTTTATTGTACAATCCTAGTGCGACTAAGAGCTGTTGTGGCGTAACATACCGACAGCACGCTTCAGTGCAGTGGCTCGCCTGGAAGCCAGCTGGGATCAGTAACTCATTAGGCAGCACAGCACGCTCCCAGGTTAACATGTCACCCAAGGCCGCTGTTCATATGTGGCCGTACGTACCCATTGTGTGAAGCAACGTAGTCAAGCACTCTGTGCCAGTGGTGGATTATTGCTGTAATCAGGTATATTCGTGCTGTGAATTGAGGAGGTCTGACCAGCACATATTAATCGGTTGCACTTTTCTTTTGCACGTTCTCTCGACCTTCAATTTAATGACTTGACGTGCACCTGTGTTTGACAGCCAGCCACTCCTGTGGTCAGGATTTCACACTAATTGGATTCTAGATTCTCTGTTGTACTGACCTCAATTAGTGGTACACTGGCTTCTGTGGTAGAAGGAACGTTGGTCCTTATTCACAGAGTCTTAATGTTTCTGATTGTGTGTGAATCCTATTCGAATTGAAGCTTTCTTACTCCCTCTTCCCAATAAAAACTTCTCCCCCCTCTGAAGTTGGTGACTTGTGTTGGGGCAGTTGGTTCAGTTGGTGCTGGATGCCCTCTGGTACCTCAACCAAGTGGCCATTCTTTATGTGCGACAAGAGACAAAATCTATTCCAACATGCGGGCAGTGTCGGAGCTAAGTTCAGTGCTTATGGACTCTGGTAATACTGGATATGGAGCTGTCCAGAGTTGTGTTATAAGAGCTGAGTTAAGTGATATACATATCCTGCTGGAATGATTTAATTTGCTGTAAATATACAGTTGACTTAAATTATTATTATGAAAGATCGAATACCCCAGAAAATAAAATAAAATAAAAATTTCTCAACTTTAAGCACTTTGAGGGCATAGATGCAGCCACGCTATAAGGACACAATAACTTTTCATCTGAATGAACATTAGAAGCACTCTATTTGAAGGGAGGGAGTTCAAAGGTATTTTTTAATGGTATTGACTTCTTTTTAATGGGGATGTTAAAAGGTCAAATCCCGTAATGTGGTTGGAATTCTTTTAAATGTACTGTACCGAGTTGAAGTTGATGCATATTTTATTAAAATTGTTTGTGATGATTTCATAGTTGGCTAAATATTATGGCCATTGTGTGATTGTAAAAAGCGCTGGAATCCTTTGAGTTCGAGACTGCAGAGCTGTCTTATATAAATTCTTATATAAAGAATATCAGTCAAATGCTCCTGAATGTTCAGGGTTGATTTCCTCCGATCACTTTGAATTATTGCAGCGAGTATTTTATTTGTATTGCAGGTCATTTGCAGTCCTGCTTGTGAGTGTGTCATAGTGGTGAGCGAGTTTTGCCAGGTGCCTGGTTCTTGTGTCAGAGCATTGGGACGTCCTCCCGATGTGAAAGGCACTATACGAATGAAATTTTGAATTGTGTTTGTAAAGCCGCCTCCGTGGAATGCCACAAGCAGTTGACTTGAAGGAATCTCCAATGTAAAGCCAGGGTTGGTTTACCCCAATTGACCAATGGTGAAAAGCCCTCGTCGTCGTTCATTGCTAGAATGGGGAACTAATCCACACAGGAAGCCATTTTGATCTGCACAATTACAGTTGTGTTTCTGAGAATATTAACCAGATTCTGCGAAGTCATCAATTATCTGAACGTGTAGAGCACTCACTGGAGAGAACAATGATTGATGGAAAATTAGACCCAAATGTGCAAACTCCTGGGTTAAATCAGATGCGGTTTCCTTATCCTAACCCCATTTGCTGCACATTCTGCACAGTTTGGCATTGTAACTAAGACGCGCCTGAATTTCAATGAAAAGCAAGGTTCATACATTTTGAATGTTGAATTCATTCAGTGTTGTGCTAACATGGGGTAATATATCTGGATCGATGCTTATCATATAGTGTTGTGTTATTCAGGGATTTGTTTTTGATCAATTGCAGTTCATCATTTTTTACTTCTGACACATCAACATTCTTCATCCCTGCTAGACATTTTTTTGTTTTTCTAAAATATCTGAGGGAGGCAGAATCCCACAACGTATTGTTTTTAAGGAATATAAGGCTAGGACCTGGTTGCTGTTGGAAGAGTCAGTTTGATGATTGTAGTTAA